GGTTATTGTTTTCACTGAAAATATTTGTTTTAATCTATGTACTATTTGGGTTCTGTATAGAGGAAATTATTTGCTATTACTATTTTCATATACAGTTCTTGAATGATTAAAATATGTGAGTTTTGAATGTGGCTGCTTTCTAAATCACATGCAGCCCTTTCATATTTATGTTATTGTAGAATAACTTATATTAAATTAGCTTACTGTTCACATCTGGTCTTGCTTCTTTACTGTTTCATTTACCATTACCTTGGTGATGCAGAATAATTTGAATTCCTTGCCAGATGGTTTCCTCCAAGTATCCATGGAGAATAATGCATATAAAATACCGAGCATTGAGCCAGACACCCAGTAGGTGCTCAATGAACAACTACTTATTATTACTGATTATTAACTTTATACTTCCAACTATATCACTTCATCTTCATTTCCTCTCCCCATTTTCCAGTTCTTTATTTCCAATTATTCCTTAAAAAGTCTTTGAATTTCAGTGAATTAAGGGTTATTTCTTTGCCCACTTGTCATCTCCAAGTTTTTATTGTTGCCATGCAACTATAAAACAGGCTCTTTAGTTCCTGAGAAAACTGCACATGATTTAACAAATCCTGTGTTTATTTTCTCCCAAGTATTTGCTTACTGGATACATACATAACTGGGGTGGGGGAGGGTAAGGATGTCAGCGGCGGGGGCGGGGGGGGGGATGTGGTGGTGGTGGTAGTGTTTGTTTCTTCAGAACTAACGTTACATGTTGTAATTAGAAGCTATATTTGCTGGGAAAAACAAGTTAGTAAATTTATCTTATGATTCATTTGATGATTACATGTTTTTTTTTTTTATTGCTTTTGGCAGACATATAAGGTTATACTAATTTAATCCTGGTATTTTTTTTAGACTCATGCATATTTCATTTTATAGTTGATACTTTTAGGCTGTTAGAAACATCAAATGCTACTGAGTGGAAATACTGTAGATCAATAATCTGGGTTGAACTGTAAACCTAGATGTAAAATGAAGACTTACTACTTTTAATTAATTGTAGTTAATTCATTTATCTTAGTAACAAAGGTCACTTTATTTTATGCAGTCATATTTACTGATATCTACTACTACATAGCACCATATGAAAATCTGAGAGGATACTAAAAAGAAGTATAAAACACGGTTTCTACTGTAGGAATCACCCCCAAGACTGTAGCCTACCCCGTTCTTTTCTTGTTCTGCAACCCTCCCTCCCCACCCTGGCAAAGAGCTGCTCCTTGGCCACTCGCAGGCATAGGGTTGTACATACCAGTGGTGCTGGCTGCCTGGATCCTAGGAAAGCCTATGCAAGCAGACTTGGGGCTATTTGGGTAGGGAAATCCAGGATCCTAGGTAACCAGAGCAAAGTCTAGAAGGAAGGGCATGAGTTCTGGGTGACCACTCCCCTTGACCGGACTTTGTACCTTGTAGGGTTTGGTGCATCTTGTAGGGCCAGAGCAGGTGTGCCTGTTGCTCATATATAATGGTAATTTTGTGTCAGGTTATGTTATGAGTATACCTTGACCACCACCTTGCCCGATCCCTTTATTAAACCATTGCCAGATATTCTTGACTGTACCATCCGTTTCCTTCTGTAGCTATAGCTGATACAGCTGGCTTCTTCAATGAGATTTACAGTAAAGGTAAACTTGACATAGGCCTTGAGGGAAACTTTCACTTTCTAGGCAAAGAATAAGAGAATTTAGAAATTAAAGGGAATTGAAAGGCTATGGATTTTAATGTTCCTATCTATGCCAATGCTGGGCTGACCAGCAGACGCTGAGCAGTGGATGAATGATTACTCTGACATAGGATTGCTGTGAAAGAGAGGGCCAAGGGACTGCCTGGCTAAAGGAACCAGACAGCCTCAATCACCTGCCTCATTAGGCTTTTATTGTAACAGCAGTTTGAGATAAAGTTTAGCTTTTAGATACAATCAGTAGGGTAAGTAATCTTGGGGGGACATATGTGTTTGCAGTGTCCTTTAAGCAAGGGCACCTAAAGATTAAGCATAAGGATTCCAGTAAACACCCGAGGGTCCACACATGCACAGACTTGTTTGGAAAGGTCAAGGAACAATTAGGGGCACCATCTCCTGCATTCCCCTAAGTCAGAATTCCGATAAACAGGGTGGGCCGCCTTCAGCACACTTCCCTTTTCGGAATGTCCTCCTTACAAACTTTCCAAGTCTCCTGTGCTCCCCTACATGCCAATCTTTTGCCCTATTTATTTGATGCTAGAGGCCCGTTGCACGAAGAGATTCGTGCAATAGGCCTTCCCTTCCCCTGGCTGCTGGCACCGGATTTCCTCGGGCACCTGGGACCCAGGCCTTCGCTCTGGACAGAGCCTTCAGTCTTCGAGGCTCCAGACGGAGCCTTCAGTCTTCGCTCCGCTTCGCCCCTACGTATGCAAATTAACCGCCATCTTTGTTGGGTTAATTTGCATATCTCCCAATTGGCTGGTGAATGTAGCAGAGGGACAGTTAATTTACATGTTTGTCTATTATTAGGTAAGATTTTATTTGACACAGCTTAAAGACAGTCTTCTTTTTGAAGTTTTTCTTAATTTCATACACTAGTGTTCCCTCATATTGTGTAGGCATTGGTAATGTACCTGCCATATACCATATGGTGACTCACTTCTCTTCCTACTTTTCTTTAATCAAACCTCAGTGAACTTTTTATCCATACACTACATTGTGAAGTTAGTTGGCTCTCACTTGATGGGAATGCATCATTTACTTATTAGGTTTTCTTTACTCTTTTTTCATTATCCCAAGATAATTAAGGTTATACTATTTGGTGCCACAGCAATCATAAACATAAAGGCAAATTCAGGCCCCGAGGTCCTGTGGCACTATTTCATTTTCAGTGAGTATGAACCAGCATATGAACCAGGATATGTTATATTATAAGTCACAGAAACAAAACACAAAAATGTTAAAGTTACTTTAAAGAAAAGTTACTCTTCTGCCAGTACAACTGCTAACCTTATTTTTAGAAACATGAACTTTTAGGACTGAATTGATGTGAGAGGTGAGGGAAAAGGAAAATACTTGGTATGATGACTCAAAGATGCTGGTCTGGGCCACTGGGTATGTGACCCTATTTACTAAATCAGGAATAAAAAAAATAGATGCTTTCAGGAGAAAGGATGATTTGTACAATCTCAGTTTCTCATTTTGAGTTTCTTGCGGTACATTCCCTTTCTGGTAGACTGGACTGTGGATATAAATTTGGAGTTCAACAACAAAAAAGGTCAAGCCCTGACCGGGTGGCTCAGTTGGTTGTATTGTTGTCCTGTGCACCAAAATGTTGTGGCTTCCATTCCTGGTCAGGGCACATACCTAGGTTGTGTGTTCCATCCCCAGTTAGAGTGCATATGGGAGGCAACCAATTGATGTTTCTCTCTCTCTCTTCTATCCTCTCTCTTTAAAATAAATAAAAACACAAAAGTAAAATCAAACACATATTCTTGAAGGATTAAAAAACAAACAAACAAAAAAGCCTGGCCAGTGTGCCTCAGTGGTTGAATCAGGAGGTTACAGTTTGATTCCTGGTCAGGCAGGGCACATGTCTGGGTTGGGGCCCAGTAGGGGGTGTGCAAGAGGCAGCTGATCGAAGATTCTCTTATCATTGATGTTTCTCTCTCTCCCTCTCCCTTACTCCCTGAAATCAACATATATATAAAAAACCCAACCAAGACAATAGATGTGGTCATTCAGGGAGAACAGTATGCAAAGAACAAAAAAATGGCCAAAGAAAAATAGCCTTGGAGAACACAGTTTCTGCAGAGTAGCAGTTAAAGAGACGAGGTAAGGAAGTCAAAACAGAGGCCTGACTTGAGTGAAATGGTTATTGCAGTCAGAAACTTTCAAAGGTCAAGTAAGATAAAGATGGAAAAGAGTGAATCATAGCTGATGGATTAGGAAGTGCTGACCAGAGTCAGAGCAATTTCAGTGGAGTGTGGGGGCAAAGTCTGATCACAGCAAGTAAAGGGGGAAGTGAGGAAATGCAGCGAATAATTCAAGACAGTTTTGCTTTGTTGTGAAAATGTAGCCAGAGGCAGCTGCAGAGATGGAGGGCGACTTGAAAACAGTGTAAGAGATTTGGCTTTTGGCTATCAATGATGGCATCCGGTGGGGAAGGACAAGAGTCCTTAAAAATAGAGGTTTTTAAGGAGAGAAGACAGATCAAGGGTCAAATAAAAAGAGAATTCTCTGAGTTTGGAGAAGGGCAGTGGGAGGAGTTACAGACAAGGGGTGGGGAATTAAGGAAGTTTACACAACACTTTGAGTAGGACCCTCAGGCAGGTAGGTCGTAGGTGGAGCTGTGACTTGGGGAGAGTGCTGAACATTCGACAGAGAAAGCTGCCAGGAAGGAAAAAGTAAAAAAGATTACTGAGAGGCATTGAGGGTATTTGAATATGCATTTGATGTGGCACCAATCTTAAAACTTTCCCTTCCAATTCTGCCCTGCACGGTGTAGTAAGGCGCAGAGAAGGCAGATGAAGGTGGACTTGAACTTTAAAATTCACATCCCCAATGGCCCAGACGTACAGACACCAAGGCGCGTGTCCCAATCGTGTGAGTGCCTACCACACATTTATGAAAGGCACCGCAAGGGCCAGCATGTTTGTATTCTAAGACGTGTTGTTCTGTAGCTTCAGCATCCCAAGGCTTTTAAGGAAATCCAGCCATTTTAAAAAGGGGGTTGGGGGTTGTGGAGAAACCCGGAGATGAGATGCGAGAATGGATATAACTTTTCCTCTCTCCAGATTCATCCGGAGGGATGACAGATGGCTGCTCAGGGTCCAGATGCCGCTCCTCGGGGTGGAGAAAGGGGCCCTGCCCCGCAGCAACCGGGCGGAAGCACCTGTGCCATTGGTCCAGCGGCCGCTCCCACCTGCGCGGAGCCCTAGGGACCGCGAGCGCAAAGTCCGAGGCGCCCGGCCGAGGAGAAGGCGGCCGGCAGCGCAGGTGGGCCCCGGCCCGCGGTCAGGCACGATGCCCCTGGGGCTGCGGGTCAAGAAGAAAGACAAGTCCAAGGAGACCTGCGCGCTGGTGGAGGGCGAGCCGGAGGGCGCGGACGGCAGCCACCTCCCGGCGCCCCCGCGCTCCGCGGCCAGGCTGGTTTTCTACACGCAGCTGGCGCACGGCAGCGCCACGGGCCGAGTGGAGAATTTCTCCAGCATCCGGGAGCTCTACACCAAGATCGCCGGCGTGTTTGAGATCTCGCCGTCCGAGGTAAGGCCAGGTGCCCGGGCGCAGCTGCTCGCCCTCGCCCCGCCTCTCCCCCTGCGGAGCCGGCGGAAACTGGCCGGGTGCTGGGGCTCCGCGTCGGAGGCGGCGGGAGCGCCCAGGGGAAGGGAGAGAGTGAGCGGGAAGGGTAAGTCCCAGGGCCCGAGAAAGGGGCAGTCCCCGTGCTCGGAGACCCGGCTTTTGGGAAACCAGCGACCTTTCTTTCTTACGCAAACGGGGCCCGAGTGCCTTCCCAGAGTTGAGTTCCAGCTGCGCCGATGAGCGCCTCCACTTTATTTGGACTTGACTCTCCTGCTTCCTCTTCAGGGGTGAGGGGGCCTCGCTGAGCATCTCCCAGGAGAGGGGAGAACGACGTGCCTTTCAGGGGATACCAAGCCGAGGCCCACTTGGACCCAACTGGCCCCTCCTGTCACTAATACCAGAAACCCTTTGGTGGTATTTCCAATAAGCTTATTATTTCCAATAAGGGTGGGTAACAGAGTTATACTTCACTACGTGGGATCAGTTAACATTTTCAGAGGAAATCAGCTCTAAACCCTACACCATATCCTCGAAAATGGACCGAAGTTTGCCTTCATTAGATGGACTGCATGGTGCCGGGAACTGGGGTTCGGTATCAGCGTGATTTCGAAAGCACTAGTTTATGTGGACGGTTATGCGGGCACGTCATTGACGCTTGCCCAAGCAGGCGTGAGACGTTAGCCCCAGAAGTTGTGTGTCCACCTTTCAAGGAAAAGCACAAGATCGCGTTGCCCTGTACGCCCGGGAGCAAGGGGCTGACTTGGAGTGGCACGGAGCGAGCGGCATTTGGAGATCTGATCTTTAATGTTGTTTATCAGGTCTGTTCCGGCGAAATTGAGGTCAGGGCAAAATTCCAGGAGGAGATGAAAGAGAGCTGGAAGTGTAACCTTTTGTTCTGTCAGGGTTCCCAGGCACTGGGGTAAATCACAGACCTCTCAATTATGTATGTTCATGTAGAGGAGTAAGAACTAGGAGGTTTTCTTTGTAATAGGACGTTTCGGTTCAAAAAGCACTTTCACAGGAATAATGTCGTTTGATCCTGTCTAGAAGCGGCTGGTGTCTGGTAGTTCCTTGGGTCCCTAAGGACAGGATTGGGAGGCTGATAAGCCTGGCTGTGGAGCCAGGCTCTAGCACTCATTGGCTGTGTGGCCTTGCACAGATGTAGTCCCTCAGTTTCAACCACTTATGCAATGGAGATTAGAACATCTACTAGGAAGGGTGATTGTAAAGACTGAAGTTTACATATAAACTGTAGGGGTTCAGAACCAGTCACCCCAAGATGTGCCTCTGTGGTATATGAGGATTGTTTTGAGCTAAAGACAGCCAAAACCCTGCTGGCTCAAGAGAAACTTTTGCCCTCCCTTAACTACCTAGAAGAACTTGAATAGGGGCCTTGTTTATAATATTACTAGAGGCCCGGTGCATGAAAATTCATGCACTAGGGTGGGGGCCCTCAGCCCAGCCTTCCCCCTCTCACAGTCCAGGAACCCTCAGGGGATGTTCTACTGATGGCTTAGGCCCGCCCCACAGGGAGCGACAGGCAATCAGGGGAAGGCACCACCCCCATCATCCCCTTGCTGCTGCTGCCTCTGGCCTCCCTCTGTGGGAGGATACTGGAAGATAAGGGGAAGGCGATGCCCCCATCATGCCTCTACTTCTGCCACTGCTGGCTGCTGGGACTGCCTGAGCCTCAGGCCCCTGGGCAGTGGCAGCTGCCATCAATGGCTTGCCTGAGCCTCAGGTGGCTGCTGCAGCTTCGTCTGGAAGGATGTCCGGATGGTCGTCTGGAAGACATCTGGTCTAATTAGCATACTATCCTTTTATTAGTATAGATCAGAGGTAACCATTGGATGAACTTCTAATTACTGAATATCTGCTTCTATCCTGCAATGATCTTCCTTCCCTCTGAAGCCCTAAGGTGATCCTTAGCTCAGAATGTCATATACACTTCATTTTCCCTTTCTGTCTTTGAACCTCTCATGTATATGGGGTTACCATATGTACCTATGTATTAAACTTGGTTATTTTCTCTTGTGAATCTGCCTCCTGTCTATTTGATTGTTAGGCCAGCTGCAAGAACCATGAAGGTAGAGGAAAGTTTCTTCCTCCCCCACAAAACCTATCAGATCGCATGGTATATGGTCAGTGCTTCACAAATTGTAACTAATCATATTAATACCTAACAGTTAAATGAGGGGGCTGAAGTACAAAGTGATTGGGCCTTGGCCAAGGACATGTAGCTAGCCCCCGCCACCCCCCCCCCCAAAAAAAAAAGCTGGGCTGATACTTAAATTTGGAACTTAAGTGAGCTTGTTAGCATACTTCAACTGTCTCTCCTGTACCCAGGGACTCCAGATTTACTTACTTTGCATTAAGTCTTCCTCATCATAAGATGGCATTATTTTATTCAATCCACTTAATCCCTGAGAAGTATTATTCATATCCTTGCTTCACAAAGAGGAAACTGAGGCTTTGGGGCTCAAAAATTTTTCAAAATTACACATGGTAAGTGCCAGAGTCTGAATTTAAACCCAGGTTTTTTTCTGACTCCAAATTCCATGACGTAATATTGCTATAATGCTTCCCAAGTTTTCCATGGTGTCCCAGCCATAGCTTGACAGCCATGTTCAATATTTTCGGTTTTCAATGCACTGACTTGCAAGATAAAATTCCAAGATAATATAAACAAGGTGATGTGCTGTATCAAAGTTCATAAATTTTTATAGCCTCAAATATATTAGCATGTTTATGCATATACCAAACATTAATCCATGTTTTCCATTTGGATTAAAAAGAGTTAAGTATATCCAGATAAAGTATTGGCTATTATAATATAGTAGGTCATAAGTATCACAATAAATTTGAAATAGAAGTCATTTATTAAAATAAAACAAACACCAATGAGATCCCATTTCCCATCCTATTCCCTCTGCAAGAAAAATATGATGTAAACTTTTGAGATGTCAGTTTGGACAAAACAAAAATTTTTCCCCCTTACTACATGGTTAACTCAGAAGTCCTACCTTTTCTCTAGAGAGGTGGCTATCTATAATAATAAAAGTGTAATATGCTAATTAGACCAGGCAGCCAAATGACTTTCCGGACTACCTTCCGGACAAAGCCGGCCTGTGAGGGCCGAGCCACTTGCACAAATTTCGTGCATTGGGCCTCTAGTGAAGATATAAAAAGCACTGTATGAGGAGCTCTTTACTGAGGAAAACAGGGAAGGAGTGGCCTGACCTGATGTCTGGTGCAGCTGATTCAGGCAAATTTACTGGGAGTCCATGATGGCTGGCATGTGAGTCTACAGTGTGATCGTTCCATCCTCACCGTAGCAGAGAGGCAAGGATTCTTTTCATTTTGCAGTTGGGCTAAGTGAGCCTTTGAGCATCTTGTCCAGAGTCAGGGACAGAGCCAAGATTCAAATCCAGGTTTTCTGGTTCCAAGTCCATTACATAGCAACTGAGATTCTTGGTCACTGTACTCAAATTCCAAAAACAAACCAGCAAAGCTTCTTTTTAAAAAAAATTGTCTCTTCAATTAAAGCCTCAAACTATTGCCTCAAGAAGATGCTGTTGTGAAACTGACAAAGGTGGTTTATCACCTATTCATGGTCCCTGAAGGAAGAAGCTAACAAAACCTATGACTCACTTGCAGGGTACAGTCTGTGATCATTACCTTGAAACAGATGGGCAGTTATGCAAAAATCCCTTACAGCTGACATTTGTTTTTTTTACTAAAGGACTAAATGAGAAAGTAAATTAATCTTGTCTAAAAGAATAGTTAACTCATAACATTAATGCAGGGCAGTTTTACAAAAAGTTTACTATCATTTGAAAATATTCAGGTTATATAAATTAGTTGATCATTAAATTCTTGAGCCATAGTCATAAAATTTATTGAAGGGGCATTTTGAATAATTGACCACTGTAGTTATTTAGCAAGTAGTTTGTGCCATGGCATGTTTTCTTAATTCTCTATTATGGGAAAAGATTGTAGGAAAAAGGTATTGAATTTGAAAGAGCTTTTTAAGAAATCAGTTTTGTAGTTAGATACTTCACATGTCTAGAAATGGAAAACTCAAGTTTCTTTATATGTTTCAGAAATTATTTCCTTTAACTTGGTCATATTAAATAGTTCATTGAATAAGTGGATCAAGCAAAGATAGCCCTGTCTCAATACATAAAGGCAGTCAAATAAAGCAGTGTACTTGGGAAGCAGAAAAGGCAAGAATTGTGATTGTCATTTCAAGTTCCATATTTAACATAAAATCATGCTGTATGTCTCTGAAAAATGAAACAGACCTTCTCTTGCCACCTGCTCCCATCCCTGATGCTATTACCCCATTTCTCTCTTAGAGGAAAATTTAAAATTTGCTATCGCCAATGAGATACATTCTGTATCTTCTCTCTCTGCTTGAAACTCCCCATCTTAAATGGAACACAAATCTCAAATCCAATGATGGGCTACAGGCCCTGTTCCCTCTCTAACATCCTTGTTCCTTCTGCTTCAGCTAGTTTCCTGGCTATTCCTTGAACTCTGGAGCCTAAGGGCTTTTGCACTGGCTGTAGCCTCACCTGAACCTCTTCCTGCAATTGCTCTTCCTTTAACTCTGCTCGAATATCACCTTCTCAGTGCAGCTGGCACTGATCATCCCATTAAAAACTACAACACCCCTATTCCCTTCCTCACTCAATGTTCCTCCATGGACACTAACATCCCATGTATATTTAACTGATCTGTTTTGTTTATTGTCTTTCCTCACCCCATGTACTGAAATATAAGCTCCACACAGGCAAGGATTTTGTCTATTTTGTTTACTGATGTAGCCCCAAGGGCCTGGAAGTGTACCTGAAACATAGTTGGAGCTCAGGAAATATTTGTTGAATAAAAACAGCCTCACAAATATAGTACTTAAAATCCGGTAGCTTTAACACAAAGCTCTACTACCGGTTACAATACCA